CTCACACCTAGCCTCTCGCAAGTCTCACGGGTGCGAAACGGAGAAGCTAAGCGGAGAAGTACACGCGGCTTACGATCGCTTAAGACCCGGGTTACCCGTTGAGGGATTTCACAGCGTCTCCACACTTGACAGCTTCCTGGCCTAGCCGGTTCTCCACGGCAGGGATCACGCAGGGTATCTCAGGTATCTGATCCCGCAGACGTGCGCAGGACTGTCCGCACTGGGAGCTAAGGGCTGTCCTGTTGTCGAGCGTTCGCGGTACCGGCGCCACACTGTTGCCGCACCGCGCGTTTTGTGTGAAAAAAAAGGATCGTCCGTACGTTGTACGACAAACGCACCGCTTCGGCACCGTAGCAGGCCGTCAAGAAACGCATAAATTGAAAGCGCCCTTAAGTGCGCGGCCTATTACCCACTGCACCTCTCCCCGTCAGCTAACAGGTTTTAATACCTACACACGAACTAAGAAGAACCGGCGTTCGAAGTCGGGAAGAAAAGCCATGCTTTATAATATGCCAGAATATGAATGGTTTTTCCTCCAGGCATTTTGGTCGCTTGGCAAAGTTGCGGAGTGGAACTTTTGTAGCGTTTTCATTTTGCCGCTATATAAACCTAATGAGCACTACAATTTACATATCACGTTTTATATCGCGTCTAACTGTCAAACTCCATAGTAATTAGACACTTGAGCGTGATATAAACGCGTTACATATCTAGATTGCGCTATGGTCCATAGTGAAAAAGGAAAAAGCCGACCTACTGGTCTTCGCCTCCAACTTTACCTTGGACGATGTGCCAAGCTACGCCTACAATAAGCCCCCATTGTGGAAGTTCCATACCAGTTCGGTTCGAGAAATGAAATGAAATGATTTATTTGCCGTAAATAGGGTAGATGGTTACATCGGACAGGTGTGGTCATCCAAAACATTGTACTTATAGGCCTAAGTACAATGTTTTGGATGACCAACTTGTACCATTTCAAATGGCATGTAATTTTGTTTTATAGATAGGTCCGACAAATGACTCCACCCCACCTGATGTTAAGTGAAGGTGAAGTCCAGACGCGAAGATAGCTGATACAGCAGTTCTACCTGCCACATCAGCCATCCTCACCCTGCCGGCCTGCATGTTGCTTCTTCACGCCTCTTTTAAAGGATCCCAGGTTGTAAGAGGGAGGGAACACGTGAGAAATATTAATTATACAGAAATGATATTAAATAGATCAAGAACATCAACTTTTGAAATCAACTTTTTTAAAACAAATAAAATCTTAAAGAAATTAAAACAGCAGGATTAATTGTTTTTTTTTATGAGAGTGCTGGCGGAACAGTGGGACTCTCCGTGTTGGCTCGCTAGATACGACTGCATGCACTCATAAAGGCGGAAGCATCGTGGGGTGACTTCGGTGTGTGAAATATTTATTTATATAAGTCATATGTGTTTAATGACAAACATTAGTTTTTAAGTATAATCTGTTTGATACTAACCCACTAAGGATCCATTGTTATCAAAAATAAATGATTATTATTATTATTTTGCGGACCCATATTATCTGTAAACGACTGAGAGGAGCTCGCGCAGGTGGCTAGCGCGTTCGGCTGCGATCGTTGAAGTTAAGCAACTTTCGCAGTGGTCGGTCATTGGATGGGTGACCAAAAATTTACTATCTCGTGCTCCTCCGTGCTTCGGAAGGCACGTTAAGCCGTTGGTTCCGGCTGAATTTGCAGTCGTTAGCACCCACCAGTCCGCACTGGGCCGACGAGGTGGGTCATGGCCCAATCTCCCTATTCAATCCATATGGAAGGCCTGTGCCCGAGCAGTGGGGACATTAATGTCCAAATGCCTATTAATAGGCTGATGATGATTACCTGTAAACACTGAAGTCGACAATTGTTTGTTGCCAGAGATCTTTAATTTCACGGACAATAAAATTACGGAATCCCTCCGGGGCCTGGGTTCCGAACCCGAAACCAGCCATACTTTGGGGGTAACAAAGAACCTAATTATTTGGTCAAATCTAAATAATACTACTAAATCGAGCAGGCGCTCCTTCTTGCTAGCGAGCCCGCGGGGTGCTGAGTGTAGGAAGCGGGGCGAGATTTTCTCCTGATGATGACATTATTAGAGACGAAGATGTAGCGGCCAAATTGGAATTACTTGGACTGATGATAACTTTTTACAGTCGGGGTAAAATCTGTTTCCCTAAAAGGTTACAGGTGTAGCAGTATTGGAAAGGTTAGGAAACACTGCTCCAGGGTGTTTCCTTAGTACTATACAATGGTCCTCTTCATGAGAGGATAAAAAAAGTGTTCCACGAAATGCAGCGGCATGGCTTTGTCAATGAGATTGTATTTATCCACTTAAGTACAAATAATTCTATATTTTATATTAGTTAGTAGTATGTGTGAAGATGTATGATGCACCCTCCTGAAAATGATGTATGATGCGCCCATGTGACTGATGGTGAAAACCCCATCAAATCCTTTTGGAGGACCTTATACAGACGCGGAAAGCAATTTTATTTTATACTTCAAGGACCCTTTAATATGATTATGTTTATTTTAAAAAATAATGGCATTTTGTTGCTACTGTGCCGCTGTCGTGTTGTTCACTGCCGACATAGCTTGTTAAATATTTATTTTACAGCATGCTCAATGCGCCTCTTAAGCAGCAGCAACAGGGATAGCGAGACTCTCAGGACAACGCACGTACACACATCAAAAAAAAGTTTGAGATCACTTGCAAAAGCTGATATATTTTCAAAATTTTACTTAATCAAGAGAAAATGTTTACGTTATATATTTTTTTATTTAAAAATTCACTTCCTGATTTTGAAAAATAAAACTCATTTTATTTTTTAGTATAAAAAATAATAATAATTTAATCCTAAGGCGATTGTAATAGATAGAACTTTGATAGAAATAAAAAGATAGTTTAACCAAACTTAAAAACCTTTTATTATTAAATTGTTGTTTATCTAATACAAAATAACTCCTCCTCTGGAGGAGGATTTATTTTATATAACAAAATAACACATGCGGATTTCCTCCTGGGCATGCTGAGGATCAATCTATCCAGCATTTCTTGTGGTAACCTGTCCCATTCTTGAACAGCAGCTTCCCTGAGCTGCGGCACTATCTGGGGTGGTCGCTGCCGGTTCCAAACAGCTCGCTTAAGAGCATCCCACGCGTGCTCTATTGGGTTCAAGTCAGGAGAGCCGGCAGGCCAGTCTAACCTTGTGATTTTGTATTCTCGGAGAACATTATTGACTCGTTGAGCATTATCTTCAACGAGTACAAATTGGTGCTCATGGTTTACTCGGAAAGGTCTGACGATTCCATCAATAGTGACTGTTTTGTATCTGTCTGCCATCATGAAGCCTTGATAAGGGATTAAAGGAGTTCTAGCCCCAATCATAATACCACCCCAAAAGGACACTGATTGCCCGCCTTGCTGAACCGGTCCAGTGGCCGTTCTTTGCCTTTCAGCGAAATTCAAAAATACTATCTCGGAGGGCATAGTGGATTTTCCGCTCAAATTGGAGCGCCGTGTGGGGAAGTAGCCTTCGCCTCACTGAAGACCACATTAGAACAACACTACCTTTTGGTAGTGTTGAGTTTCTGTCAGTGAGTAAGGTTCATAAATCATCATGTGATGAACAAGACTACAGTGATGACACCTAAAAAAGCATGGCTAGCTTGAAATAGACGCTAGACGTGAACTCCGGTAAATAGTGAGCTAGGCTGAGGATTAGTTACTTGTGATACGTTTTCGCACGTAGACTCTAAACTTGGTCGATTGTCATCATCATCATCATCAGCCTATTAATGTCCCCACTGCTGGGGCATATGCCTTCCCTATGGATGGAATAGGGAGATTGGGCCATAACCCACCACGCGGGCCCAGTGCGGATTGATGGGTGCTAACGACTGCAGATGCAGCAGGGACCAACGGCTTAACGTGCCTTCCGAAGCACGGAGGGACTCGAGATAGTAAATTTTTGGTCATCCATCCAATGACCGACCTTTGGTGCCAGCAATGGCGGCAATGCAATATGCTAAATAAGAGAAATAAGTGAGAGGCTGACTTCCGGGTAAGCAATGGCTGACTTGTGGAGAAATGAGTCTGAGCTGAGCACTGGGGAAACGTACCATAATTTGTGTATGGAAACAGAGACGAACTTCTTAGCAATCCATGGATTCACCGTGCGGCTGCCGGGTCCGTCTTGTGGGAGAGAGAGAAACTATAAGTAGTTCCCGGGACTTGCGATCCAGGTGTAGGTTTAAGGAGGCCCCCTTAAAATATGCATAACGCTCACCTTCACTGCTCGAGTTGCCCGCCCTTCCAAGACATTTTTTTTTTAAAAGTATAATTATTACTATTTAGTTATTGCGATTTGGGGTCGATTTTTTACATAATATAGTTTTAGTTTGGTATATAGTTTATGTAGTAGTTTTAATCTAATTTGTGTGTTTAAATAATATAGTATTTTAGGAACTTTTTGTGTAAACATTTATCACTTTATATACCTTTTACAAATAATTTTGTCGAGAAGTATGAAGAGAAGTTTATTAATTATTAAATAAAAATGTCTCATATATATAAAAAAAAAAATATTAATATGATAATTATAAAAAATAACAGTTAAACACACAAAAGTTTACTGTAACGTGAGTATTTATTGATTTAGCTAAAAAACCAATAATTTTCTAAACAGATTTTGATTTGACCTCCTGAAAAGTTGATAAATCAGATATCAGAGTACTCATATCCAAAATGTAATTAAATAATATTGAACTTTGGACTGTATGGACTTAATATTCTTTACCTTTGTGGGGGACAATTTATAACAGCAATGGTACGTTCCATACCCACGCTCTGAGTGCAACTTTGCACTCTGGCATAAAAAATATAAAATTTTGTCATACATTAAATCAAACTCATATCAAATTTGACAAAAGTTTATTGTTGAAGTGTAAATGAAACGCGGCCTATTACAAAAATGCTAATGTCATTTTCGTGTATTTGTCAAAAATTTTATCAAATGTCAAAACTTCATTTTGTGCTAATCTACCTACAAATACACAAATTAATGCTAATTTTATTATGAAACTAATTTATTCCTCGCTTTCAAATTAACGTTACTTAGTCTGCTAGTTGACATTGAGTTTCTTTGAGTATTCTTAAGTCTTTTACGAGTGATATGTCTCACAGCTGAAGGGAAGTTGGTGTTTATTATTATGGCATCCGGCTCCAAAAATGATATTGTAAATAGACTGCTGCATGCGAGGCTAGATGATGGGCCTGGCGGCGACGAACTGCCCCAGAACATGTTGCCGTCGAACCAACTTGCCAGACAGATCGAACAACAGCGTGATGAAGACGGCGCACAATCAAATGAACCTGTAGCTTCATCGTCGGCCATCGAGAATTTGCAACCGACCAACAACACAGGCGGCCGGTTGCACAACTGGCAAGCCACAAAGACCACCGTTAAAGAACGCCTTTCATTTCTATTTAACAATGAAATTCTGTGCGACGTCCACTTCATCGTAGGCAAAGAAGCAAACCAACAAGTGATCCCTGCTCATAAGTTCGTCTTGTCCGTTGGCAGTGCTGTGTTCGATGCAATGTTTAACGGCGTCTTAGCAACTAAGTCAAATGAGATTGAATTGCCTGATGTAGAGCCGGCTGCGTTCTATCATCTACTGAAGTTCCTATACTCTGATGAAGTGAGAATTGGTCCAGAGACTGTGATGACAACCCTGTACACTGCCAAGAAGTATGCTGTAGCTGCATTGGAGGAGCATTGTGTAGATTTCTTGAAAAGCAATCTAGGTACAGACAACGCTTTCCTACTGCTGACTCAAGCACGATTATTTGATGAGCCACAACTAGCAGCATTATGTTTAGAAATGATAGACAAGAATACAACCGATGCATTAAATGCTGAAGGTTTTACTGATATTGATCAAGATACACTTAATGCAGTTTTGGAAAGGTAAGACAAATCACCTTTATAATAGAAATTATAGAAATGCTCACACTTTAAGCATCTTAAATGTGTAAAAATAATTTCAATTAATGTTTCAGGGATACATTGAGAATCAGAGAGGCTAAAATCTTTGCAGCAGTGCTACGCTGGTCTGAAGCTGAGTGCATCAGGCGACAGATCCCTGTCACACCGACTAACCAGAGAATGGTCTTAGGCCGTGCTTTCAATGCCATAAGATTCCCCCTAATGTCGGTTGAGGAGTTTGCTATGGGTCCAGCACAGAGTGGTTTATTGGATGACAGAGAAATAGTTCAATTATTTCTATACTTCACTGTCAATCCAAAACCGAATGTTGGTTTCCTAGACACACCGAGATGCTGTATGACTGGTAAAGAATTAACGGTGAACCGGTTTCCTCAAACAGAGTCGAGGTGGGGTTACAGTGGCACCAGTGATAGAATTAGATTTACAGTGGACCAAAGAATTTTTGTTGTTGGGTTTGGGCTATACGGTTCATATTTTGGACCATCTGAATATGAAGTTCATCTACAGGTTTGTAAAACGTATAACTATGTTACTTTAGATAATCTTGTTGTACAAGAATTTACTTAATAGCTTAAACATGTTTTATCAATAATTACAGATTATTCACCTAGCGACAAAGAAGGTTTGCGGTTCGAACACAACAACTTTTTGCTGCGACGGTACTGATGATACATTCAGAGCTATGTTCAAAGAGCCTGTAGAGATATTGCCTAATACATCGTACATCGCAAGTGCTAAACTAAAAGTAAGTAAGCACTACCTTTACTGTATCAATTACCAGTTCTTACAGATGAATTAAAATTTTGAAAGTCTCATGCAGGGAACTAAATTTCTTTTTTACCCACTTATAAATATTAAGGAATGTTTAAACTGAAATTATTGGAAATTAATTATTGGCATTTTATATTTTCTCAGGGCACAGACTCATATTATGGAACAAAGGGTCTCCGCCGAGTCACTGTTGACTGCAACAATGGTGAGAAAGTTGTGTTCCAATTCTCTTACGCAGCAGGCAATAACAACGGAACGTCTGTAGAGGACGGACAGATACCTGCTATCATATTTTACATCTAATAATATTCTTAACTGGTAATACTGCATACCATAGAATAATGCATCGCAACTTTTGAATCTAGCTGATAAATTAGCAAAGGTTTAAGAACAAACTTTTTTAGAAAAAAGAAGTTAACAATATAATGATAAATTAATGAGTATTAATTCATGAAAACACGCTTTCGATGTTTTAAGTATAAATAAAAATCAAAGACTAGTTAATGATATTTATAAATCAAGAAAATATGAAAAATGAACCTACTTACTTTTCTATTTATCTAACACTGATGCTTGATTTGGTTCGAAAGTGCACAAATTGAATGAACATAGCAGAGACTGAAATTCATATGATGAAAAATTTTATTACCAGTTTTTTCAAAAGAGCATAAAACATTATTATCCCACATTTAAGCACTTGCTCTAAAGAGACTGAATAAAGTACCTACTTATACAAAATAATAGTAGTTTATGCGATTATCTTAAAAGAAGGGGTATAACACAGAAGCCTGTTTATCGCATGAGATGAAGCCAAAAGCGGTAAAAGGTTGACTCAAGTGATTAATACCTAAATTAAATGCAGTTGCATACACTACTTTATCTTCACACATAGAGTACAACTGAAATTAAAATTAAACAAAGTAGCAAAACTTTTCTGAAATAACGAAAACTAAACACAAAATTTCTCTTAATGTATTGTTCTTTTTTCTTTTTTTCCTTACAGCAAAAAATTTACTTGTATTCCGCACAACCTCCCTTACTTGTTTACCTTATTTTATTTCCAACTCATTGGGTTGTCTGGAAGAAATCGTTCATTAGCGATAAGACCGCCCTTTGTGCAATGTTGTATTTTTCTACTTGTTTTGCATCTGCTTGTTTTGTTACTGTGTTGTGCAATAAAGAGTTTTTATCTTATCTTTAAACACGATCGGCAGAAAATTATATGGGGAAGTGCGGGAATCAAAGGACATTGGGCAAAAATGTATGGACGCTGCACCCACGTCCGCCACGGCTTAAACTACATTTGTTTGAAAGGTATTATAGTCAAGATCATCTGTGCCAAAGCGCATAAAATTCCATCCCGGGGGTCTTTAGTTATTTTAAGTTAAATATGTACAAGTACTATAACGAACGAACATTAATGAAACAAGGGAATTAATTTAGTTAGTTCGACCCTACAAAGGGTGCTCAGGAATATCGTAAAGGAATTATGGGAGTACTTCACAAGGTTCAAGGGTGCCCCCTTATTTTATTCTGCCCCGCTAGAGTAAATCCAAAAATCCCCGCATGGGTCTTCTTTGTCTTCTATGTAAAACGGAGAGACCACAGATTACACAAACTTGTCCACGCTTCGAAGAACACATGATTCAAGTTCATCCATACTAATTGACAAAACCGATAATCGTGTTCCAATATCCAAAGCGTGTTAGATAAAAATCAATCAAATAGCAGGGAGCACACAATCACAACGAAGTAAGACGAGTCGACTATTTGCAACTGCAAGTCCTTCATCATCCGTAAACCGTTTTGAAATGTCTCAGTAAGAGCAAGCGCTGGATGGTCGTCAGGCTTTGTCGTATATCCGGTTGTATAGTACGATATGGCATTTTATTATGATTACTTTAATAATATAAAATGAAGGTACTATAAAATGAATTTATTTAGCTACTTAAATATGCCCATGTGTCATATCTATTGACTACCAGGATATTTTTTACGATGTCATATCTTTTGACTCCCAGGATATTTATTTTCGGCGTCATAATAAAAAAGGGTAGTTTTTCATAGATCTATTGATTCATACTAATTACATTGTTGGCGGAGCTGGGTGCGTTTTGCCCATTGTCCTTTAAACTTCGAATGCGCCTCTGTTTTCACAATCAGATCTTCTCTAAGCATTCAGCCTAATATCATGGCCTAATAGATTAATTAAAAAAAAAAGTGTATTAATGATTAAAAAGTTTTTTTACGATACAGCTATAGGTAAACCGCTTAACTGAGACCTCGCCTGCGGGGTAAAGGGTGTGGGGGAGGGAGGACGAAAACGGGGGCCGTGAGGTGCGGCTGGCGCACATTCTTGTCAAAAATGTGCGCGCCGCCGAAGATTAATTTAAGCGATCTGCCTATAGCAGTACTGTAATGAGTTTTATTTTTAATTATATCTATGTGCGTTTAAAAAGTAGGTCTTTATAAAACCATATTTTAAATGCGTAATTCGAATATTTCGACATGAGTGTAGAAAAAATAGATTTATGCCATAAGGCTGAGATACATACAATAGTTTATGACATTAAGGCTGAGTGGCGATTATAAAATAATTAATAATTGCGCAAATATCAGGATTCTATAAACATAAATGTCATAGCACATATATCAACTGGGAAGCGGATCGATATCGACTCGCCTTTCGGCTTGACATGAAATAGACGTCCACCTAACGTAAGCGAGTAACGTAAGCGAATAGGCAGCTTTAGTACGTCGATTCAGCAACGGCTAGATGACACTGCACTTGCGGCTCGACGACCGCTGGTTGTCGGCTAGGCAGCACCAGTTCAATAGTTTGAATCCGAACTTGAAATAGCGGGAGCGGCGTGGACCTAGACATTTAAGCTAGGCTACGGAGAGACGTAAGCTTGGCTACGAAGAGGCGTAAGCTAGGGTATGGAGAGTCGCAAACTAGGCTACGAAGAGACTTAAGCTAGGCTACGGAGAGATGTAAGCTAGGCTACGGAGAGACGTAAGCTGGACTACGGAGAGACGTAAGCTGGGCTACGGAGAGACGGAAGCTAGGCTACGGAGAGACGTAAGCTAGGCTACGGAGAGACGTAAGCTAGGCTACGGAGAGACCTAAGCTGGGCTACGGAGAGACGTAAGCTAGGCTACGGAGAGACGTAAGCTAGGCTACGGAGAGACGTAAGCTAGGCTACGGAGAGACCTAAGCTAGGCTACGGAGAGACGTAAGCTAGGCTACGGAGAGACATAAGCTAGACTACGGAGAGACGTAAGCTAGGCTACGGAGAGACCTAAGCTAGGCTACGGAGAGACGTAAGCTGCGCTACGAAGAGACGTAAGCTAGGCTACGGTGAGACGGAAGCTAGGCTACGGAGAGACGTAAGCTAGGCTAGGAAGAGACATAAGCTAGGCTACGGAGAGACGGAAGCTAGGCTACGGAGAGACGTAAGCTAGGCTACGGAGAGACGTAAGCTAGGCTACGGAGAGACATAAGCTAGACTACGGAGAGACGTAAGCTAGGCTACGGAGAGACGTAAGCTAGACTACGGGGAGACGTAAGCTGGGCTACGGAGAGATGTAAGCTAGGCTACGGAGAGACGTAAGCTAGGCTACGGAGAGAAATAAGCTAGGCTACGGAGAGACAAAGTACGCGGAACGCGGAAATTGCAAGTTGTTGCGATTACGTTACGATTCAGATTACTGTGCGTTGCAGTAGAGACTTTCATACAAAAAATACAGAACGGCTCGAGTTGATACGGTGACCCTTTCCAAGTTGATATGTTTATATGCTATGACCTTAAGCAAGCAATGCTGCATGATAAAGGCATTTTTGTAACCTCCAGCAATATTTTGGACATGTTCTATTCTATTATAAAGAATCAATCCAAACTGCATATTGATGGAAATTGTAAGTATACCTAGAGCGTCTTAAGTGCGAAAAGTGGGGTCATAATAGATTAAGCTCAAATTGTATACTCATATAATTAAATGTTTGGAAGGCAATCTCTTTAGCTAAAAAATTTTTTTTTGATAACTTTATTTTTTCCAAATCAAAAAATATTCAAAAGAACATCGATCTGTTTTTAAAAGATACAAATGTTCCTGAAAATAGTGATTTAGTAAAACATATCAATTTAAACGTTCTAAAGATATATATTATTTGAAACTGAAAAGGGTCGATGACTAAGTACGCCGGGTCCCGGGTTCGAACCCCGGTGTGATCAGTGGCGGTATGTGTGATGAATACGAGGATTTGTACTCCAGTCATGAATGTTTAATATGTATACTTATATATGTAAAGGATATGTATTCTACCCGTTAGCCCAGTATCCCATAACACAAGCCTACAGAGTGCTTACTTTGGGGCTAGGCTAATTAGTGTGAGTGTTGGATATATTTGTTTATTATCATTTTATCACTTTGTGGCACTATAGGTCTTTACTCATAACTGATGTATAATTATGACATATACCTGTAAACGACTGTTTGCTGCCAAAATAAAGAGAAAAAAATACAGTGACGATTGGGTACTGAAGGGATCTCCCGATTGAAAGAAAATACTTAAGTGTCCATTATTGTTTAGATAATGTAACTGACGGAATTTCGTTTAATTTATCCCGTCATCATACCTACTGTACTTGTTTGAAAATTAACGTAGATACAACGTAAATGTATTTAGATGTTCGCAAGATTCTTGTAGAATAACAACGCAACTGAACTATTAATATTTTCTATTGCTAATATGAGTTTTCCCTCATCGTGCTGACCAAACTTACGGAATACGACACCAGCAGAACACAAATTTCCACAATAGGTAGGTACATTGCTATCGTAGATTTAAAAGTTTAGTTTTTGCAGTGCGATGTTTTGTGGCCAAGCAAGCTCTTTGTCGCTAACCGCTATTTTATTTAGGGTCAGGCTACATGAACACGGCGCGACGCCGCAACTTAAAACGGGGTGACACCGTAACGTCAAACGGCACCGTGCCGTGTTGAGCGGATGAAACGTACGGTGTTGCGTCGCGTAAAATGCACCACAAGGCAACGTCGCAACCATGGTAACATGGATGCTAGCCCACTATGTGCATCATAAGAATATTACTGTGTGGTATTCTGATAAGTAATAATATATAATTGCTATTTCGTCTTTCAATTGTTTAATATTTGTCTACAATGCGGAGAGATGGCGCTGCTTTGCTTTGCAAATTGTAGAATACATTCGACAAGGCCATAGGCCAGGGTCGCGGTAGCATAATGGTCAGTGCATTCGCCCGGATATCGAAGGGTGCGGGTTCGAGTCCCGTCTGCTGCCTGGTCCGAGTGGATTTTTTTCTAGTAAAATTTTCTTTAGATTTAAAAACATCTAGCAGTTGAATGCTTAAACAAAAATATATAAGTAGTACATAGTTTGTTTTATCTTGTGCTGTCAATTTGGTACATATCTGCACGACGCGGCACCGTACGGTGCATACGATCAATACGGCACGGTGCCGTTTACGTTGCGACGCCTCGCCGTGGTCATGTGCTCAGGCCCTTAGGGCGATTATCACACTGCATAAAACGGGCGTTTTCTCGTGGTCCTATATATTTGTCCTACTAGTAGAAAAAAATATCAAATGATACATTTTCATATTCCCTTATGTCAAGTACGATAGGTATAAAAAAATCAGAAAATATTTACTAGAAAAAATCATCTCGGCAAGATTTCAGGCAGGACTCAAACCTGTGTCTTTCGCTGCCTGGGCGGATACACTAACGGTAACAGTAGTATAGCGGTTAGTGCATCCTCCCAAACAGCGGACGACGCAAGTTCGAGTCCTGCCTGAAATCTTGACCAAGTTGATTTTTTTCTAGTAAAAAAATTCAAATGCTGATTTAAATAATTAATGCTTAATTCTAGAGGGGTAGAAACCCAAATTTATTAAATAATGTAGT